TTTTTGCTGTAATTTCAATGTTTCTATTAGCTGAAGCTTATACAAAAAAGGTGAAAGTGAAAAATTAAATATTCACGGTATGTGTGATTTGTGAGAGATCTACTTGTGTGCACCGACTGAAGTGACAAGTGCTTTGTTGTCTGAACAAGCAGGTTGCTGGCAGCACATAATGCAGTCAGCCCTGACACTGAAATTGTAGTGTGTCACTGGATTTCCAACTGCACACCCCCCACTGAGCCTCTCTACCCATGTTGGTGCATGGAAGGTCAGCGCTGTGCAAAGTGTGAGGAGGACATGAGGAATAAACGTTACCACATCTGAACAAAGCCAATCCCTACCCTGTTTTGATAAAAGTTTACATTTCAGTTAACCTAATTAATAATTGAACAACTGCTTTTTTGTTGCAGCATGTTAACAAAAGTTTCTTTTGGCTGAAGCTGTGCTAGCTGTCGTTAATATAATGAATATGATGCAAGGAGGGCTGCTCGGTGGTTAGCACCAACGCCTCACAGAGAGGGTCGCCGGTTCACATCCCAGTTAGGACGACAGGATCTTTCTGCGTGGAGTTTGCATGTTCTCCCCGTGCAGTATGCGTTCTCACTGGGTTCCTCCCACAGTCCAAAAACATGTTGAGGTTAATTGGTGATTCTGAATTGTTCGTAGGTGTGAATGTGAGTGTGCTTGGTTGTCTCTATGTGTAGCCCTGTGATAGACTGGTGACCTGTCCAGGGTGTCCCCTGCCTTCACCCTGAATCGACTGGGATAGACTCGAGCGACCCTAATGAGGATTAAGTGGTGTAAAGATAACAGGTGGATGGCTCAAGGACAAAGAAAGAACCATTTGACATGTATCATACAGGCTCTTACCTAAAGCCCATTCTGTCCATAAAGAATCCATTCTCCTCCTCCTCCTCCTCCTCCTCCTCTTGACCCATGTCTTTGCTCTCTGACTGCTGTTTAATGAATGGACAGTAGACTTCATCCTTTTCTTCGATCTCAGCCAGCAGGAGATGACCACGCATCTTAAAAGCTGCCATCACTCTTTCCAGTGAATAGGCTGGTGGACTGGAGTGAATCTACAAAACACAGCCATTTAGAAAAAAAGATGCACAGCAATGAACAAAAAAACATTTACAATATATAAGACATTTAAAGTCACAAACAAAACTCGTGTGCAGCTGATACAACAGATCAAGTCTTACTTACTTACTCAAAATGCACAGAAACACACACACACACACACACACACACACACACAAAACAGTGTAGCTACCTTCCTGGCAGGCTTGCGCACACAGCTGTGTCTGATCAGAGGGACGCTGTGGGGTCTCCTGCCTGAGTACCCAGCAGCCCCTGCTTCCACTGTTGCAGTTGTGGTTGTCCCCCGAAAGGTCATGAGGTCGCTGCGAAGGCGATCGATCAGAATCTGCTGGTTCACCAGTTGCTCTGTCTGAACATTTGCACACAAATGTGCACACAGACACATGATGCTGTTCATTTCTGGGACCGTTTTGAAGTTTTACTGGCAGATAAAATGAATAATACAAATACTGCATTCACTCCTCTTCTCCTCACCTGTATACGAGCACGCTCCTTTTGTTCCTCTGAGGCTATCAGATGGGATTTTCTCTCTTGAAGAAGTTTCTCAACTTCTTTTTGTACATGTCTCAGTTCTGCGTCTTTCTGCTCCAACAGCTGCTCCTCTATGTGGAGGGCTTTCTAAGGATACAAGAGAAAAATGAATTAGATAAAATAGTCAAACTCACTCTTTTATCTGTGTAACTCATTTGATCCAGTGCATATATTGTAGTCGTTCACACGATCCTATCTTCAGCTCTGCAGGGGATAAAAGATGTCACAGTGGAAATTTTGACTTTTGACGCATGAAAAACTTGTAATATCAACAGTGGCTTAGTTCAAATCAATTGTTTGTTTCATAAAATGAATATTTGAGACTTTTAATAGAAATATTCCTTTGTTTGCTTTTGATCATTACCTGACATGTGCTGAGTTCTTCTCTGAGTTTTAATATGGTACCATGGTCTGGTTGGTCTCCATCCCTCTTTGACAAGTCCTTATCATCAGTTGGATGTGAGTGCTCGACAGCTGCCAGTCTCTCCTGCCATTTTTGTAGACGCTGCTTGAAAGAAAGACTTGAAGAAGGGCCAGAGATTTCTGCAAGCAAAGCTGCAGCTTCCTCTGCCAAGAGGCGATACTGTGACAGCTCCTCTTGGTTCACCTTCTTATCTGGTTCACATACCCTGATCTGACTGGACTCTTTGAAGCTGTCCCCTTCACCTCTTCCCCCTGTCTTTTCCTTTTCTGTCTCAATCTCTCTCTCCTTCTCTTTCAGTAGCTCTCTCAGTGTCTGTACTTCGTATTCCAGCTCCCCTAGTCGAGCCTCACCAGGGTGCCAGGTTGTAGGACATGATTTAACCTCTGTTTGAGCAGATGTCACTCCTGGACTGTTACGAATGTGACGAGCTTTGGATGCGAACTGCAGGACACTCAGAGTCTCTGTTACAAAGTGGTGGGAGGGGCTTACACAGGCCACCATCAGCGTGTGGGCGGTGCCTCCCAATGAATCACGGAGGAGGCGTGTAATCTTGGCAGCACGATATGGTATATGAGCACTGCTGCAGCTGTTACCTCGCCGATTTCGACTCTGGTCAGAGAGGGCACGGATTACATTGCCCAGTGCAAGCAGGCCTGTGTTTATATGAGCAGACTCTTTGAGTCGTGTGCCAGTGTTTCCAGTTTTTCCAGCACGTTCTGAGCCTGCCAGGTCAACCAGACAGAGTTTGGAGCAGCGGGAAGACTGAAAAGAGGAGTTGTGGTTGTGACTACGTAGGATGACCTGAAGGGTGAGGATGGCATGGGAGCGGCTGGAGTGCTCGTTCATTCCTGTTGTGCCGGTGTGGCGCAGGGCATTTCCCATCTCTACAACACTGAGCAGCTCCTCTGCTGAGGTGACGACCACTTCTTTGGCACCGACCACCACTGAAAGAACACACAAAAAGCACACACAATGATGTCTCTTTTAATCTTATGGTATCACTATATGACTTTCTTATCCTATATGGAATAATGTGTCTCATTCATTAAATGGAGCTGCCAACAGCTTTACAAACACAGCAATCACACATCTGTGATTTTGACTGATTCCATAGCATGTCTTTTGCAGCACCAGGCTTTTGTCTCAAGCTTGGAAAAACTAAAAATCAATAACATGAAGCCTAAGTTACATAATATCTGCACTGTACCACTCAGGGGGAATACCAGTGACATGACAGGGCAACTTTGTGATGCATTAAATACAAGCTGCACAGAAAATAGAGCTGAAAAACATCCGAAACATATTATACTGTGATTATTTTCACAGATACTGCAAATGCGACATGAGTCTGGATTTTAGTGGGAATTCTTTTTCAATTAAAAAAACATAGAAAAATGTGGAGAATACAATTTGAGGACTGGGACGTCTCTGTGGCACCACGGTGCTTCAGTTATAATAGCATTTTATGACACATTTTAGCTCAACTAAAAAACATTTAAGCTCCTGTGTTTTGGATATCCCACTTGGCCAGAGAGTGATTCTGATAACATTTAGATTAAATGTTCAAATTGCATTCTTCCTGTGTTTGAAAGAAATTCTATAGGTTTCAGGATTTGGACTTATATAGCAACCAACATGTGCATGGCCGTCTCACCCGTGTTTCCCCTCTCATCCTCTCTGATATGAAGCTCTTTGTGGACGGTGTGGGGCTCCAGCAGGTCTCGTAGTTCCTCTCTGTACAGCTCCATATATGAGGTCCGCACGGTGACCTCCACACCGTCACTGCTCCCCAGCTTCTTCCCCAGCAGCAGGAACACATCCTGGGCCACACGGTCGATGATTCCTCCCTCTTCATCTGGGAAAAGTTTCGAAAGGATGCAGACATGAAATATTTATTGCACAGAAAATGAAACATAAGATGCACTTTATGGTCACAATTCTGGTCCGTGTGTGGCCTAATAATGAGGCAACAGTGAGCTACTGACCAGGTAAATAACTTAACAGCTTTAATGGTATGACTGCAAACAAAAGTACATTCTTCTGCTCCATCAATATAAATGTGTGGGTGCCAGATACAACAAAACGTGCAAACCTACAATAACAATTACACAATAAACAATCCCCAGAATCCTATAAATAGTCCCTTTGAGTAAAACCTGCAGCTCTCATGTGTAACTTCCCCAAAACTGCAACTAATCAGGCAGTCTTTCTATATTTCTGACTTTCTTGTTGTTTCCAACGTACCTTGGTTCCCTCCTCCCAGTGTGTACGTCTTTCCCGACCCTGTCTGTCCGTAACAAAACACGGTTGCGTTGTATCCGTCCACCAGCGACTCCACCAGCGGCTGGACGCAGGACTCGAACACCTCGTCCTGGCTGGCTGTCGGTCCAAACGCGTGGTCGAAGGAGAAGAGTCGGTCCGCGCCGAGCATCACCTGTCCGGAGCCCGGCACCACCCGGACACACACCTGGTGGTGGCGGAGGACTTCTCTGGGGAGCAGCGGACGGATGCGGACCGCAACCCGGACACACTCCTCGCTCATAGCGGTTAATTACAGACCAACTAGTGATGGACTTTCATTTTGTTTTCCAGCGTGTCACAAGCTGAGCTGCGGCGAAACTCTTCACTTGAACTCTTGAAAGTAGTTAAATCCTAAATGAACACGAGCCAATGCACTAAAATGTACGAAACAAGCGGTCTAATGTCGGCTGTGAGTGTTTATCTACCGTCGTTGTCATTTGTCGTTGTTTTGTTGTTAACTTGGTCCCACTCCGTTTGTTGTCGCTTCTCGGTTGCCCGGGAAACCGCCGCCGCGGTGCTGCAGCAGTCGACGAGAGCAGCACGAGAGGCGTTCAAGAGCCTTCATGGAGGGCGGACCGAGCGGTACGTGAAGGCAACAGCGCCACCTTCTGAATCTGCCGGTCCCCCTTTAGTGCTTTTATTACATTTCTGTAA